GAGAGAAGAGGTTTCGCAAGCCAGGAAGTACGGTGCAATTGCCTACACCTGCGAGTTATGACCCTCCAAAAAAAAGGAAAACAGGAAAATAATATCTCTTTTTTTCTCTCTCCCTCCCTCCTCTGAAGAGTGAATGAGTGAATGAGTGAACGGATGAGTGAGCGAGAGGATTAGGGATTAGAATGTGAGGGAGGGCGTGGGCGAGTGAATGCATGTTAATGTGCTTATGTGGAATGTCCGAGTGAATGAAAGGAGAAGGGAGGGGGTGAAGGAATTCAAAATGGGGAACGCAGGCAGTATTCTTGTACACACACACACACACACGTGTATACATATAAAAATACATACATGCATACTCACATATACACCTCTCTCTATATATATGTGTGTGTGTGTGTGTGTGTGTGTGTGCATCTACATTTACATATACATATGCATGTATCTATATCTATCTACCTATATCTATATCTATATCTATATCTATATATACATATATATATATATATATATATATACATACATACATACATACATACATACATACATACATACATACATACATGTATACATACATACACACGTACATGCACTTGCATACATAAACGCATAAATAAATACGTATATACACTAGTGTATATAAATATACATTGCTAGCGTGCCTCGTCCATGAATGCCTGGGGGACTTTGGACCTTACAAACAATAGCATGTCTCAGGAGGAGGGGGCGGGGAAGGGGGGGAGGGGGGGAGGCGTGCAACCAGCAGCTGAACTTACCTGACTGTATCTCCTGGGAACTCGCATTTTGCATTCATCTACCAAAACCTCTTTGTGTGTGTTTGTTTTTGTGTTATCTCTCTCCCTCTTTCTCTTTCTTTTGTTCTATGTTTCTCTTTTGCGTTTTCTTTTTCTTTCTTTTTTTTTCTTTTCTCTTTGTCTTTGTCTTTCTCTTTTCTTTTCCTCTCTTCTCACTCTCTGTCTGTCTGTCTCTCTTTGTGTTTTTCGTTTCGTATTATTATATCTTATTTCGCACATGCATTTGTGAAGCAGAGAGAGAGAGAGAGAGAGAGAGAGAGAAGAGAGAGAGAGAGAGAGAGAGAGAGAGAGAGAGAGAGAGAGAGAGAGAGAGAGAGAGAGAGAAGAGAAAGAGAGAGAGGAGAGAGAATAGAGAGAACGAACAAGAAAAAGACAGAAAAAAAAGAAACATAGAACCACACAGGCAAAAAAACAACAACAATAATAAATAGACAAATAAAAGACAACCACGCATCAAAAAACAGCTGATTGCCAATCACTCTGTCTTAGCGAGCCGGCTGCCGGTTTCCTAACATTTCCTAATACACGCTCGTGCCTCTATAGCCGGCACTGTCCCCGCCACAGGGCACGGCAGACGGAGCAGAAGGTGCCAAACGAAGTCCCCTAAAGTTCAGGATCCGTAGCGTTTGGCACCAGAAGGATATGATGACGTCACAGCTGATGACCTTGCCCATTGAGTGGCCAAGTCCGAAAAAAATGGGAAAAAAAAGGGGGGAGGAGAGAGGGAGATTGAAAATAATAATGATATAAAAGAAATTACATGGAAACAATGATGATAAAAAAAACAATTAAATGGAATTAGAAAACCGGCAAGAATGATTTGTTTTTTTTTTTTAATCTTCTTTCTTTATTCGTGTATATCTTTCGTTTTCTTGTATGCGTGTGTTTATTCATTAAGTGTGAACACCTGCATTAAATTGATAAATAAAACACAAAAGCTTTCAAAGATCATCGTCCCACTTCGAAACTCGGGAGAAAATGCACAAGTTGGCAACTTTTGGGGGTTGAGTTGTCAGTAATGGAATTTCTGAGTGGAATAAAGAGGTGTGATTTAGTATGTCTATTGGATGGCATGAAAGTAAGATGGGGAAGAGGAGGAGGTGGAGAAAGGAAGGAGAAGGAGGGGGAGGAGGGGGGGATAGGCTGAGGAGAGGGAGAGGTGGAGAAAGGAAGGAGGAGGAAAGAGGGAGAGGAGAAATGGAGGAAGGAAGGAGGAGGAAAGAGAGAGGAGAGGAGAAAATGAAGGAAGAAGGGAGAGGAGAGGAAAGAGAAGAGGGGAGAGGAGAGGTGGAAAAGAGACAGACGGAGAAGGAAGAGAAGGACGGGGGAAAGAGACAGAGGGAAAGAAAGGAGGAGGAGGAGGAAAAGAGGGAGAGGAGGAGATGGAGAAAGGAGGAGGAGGAGGAAAGGAGACAGAGGGAGAGGAGTAGAAAGAAAGGAGGAGGAGGAGGAAAAGAGACAGAGGGAGAGGAGGAGATGGAGAAAGGAAGGGGGAGGAGGAAAATAGACGGATGAAGAGATACGAGGAAGAAGATGAAGGAGTACCAGAAAATGAAGAAGGAAGGTGTGATGGAAGAAACAGTAAATGGAATGAAAAGAAAAAAATGAATAAAGGGAGGTAAAAGGAAGACGAATGGTAGATGAGAGAAGGAGAGGAAAAAGGAGAAGGAGGAGAGATGGAAAAAACAACAGAGGAGAATGGGGGAAATGAAGAGGAAGAGGGGAGGGAGACAGAAAGACGACGAAGAGAGGGAAGAGAGAAGAGGAGGAAGGAGAATAAGGTGAAAAAAGGGTAAATGAAAGAAAGGAGAGGAGAGAGGTAAGTAGGAGAAAGAAAGAAGAGATTGTGAAAATGAGGAAGAAGTGACAAGGATAAGAGGGGAGAAGGAATGAGGAGAAGGTTGAATAATGGTGAACAAGAGGAAGAGGGAGAAGAGAAAGTAATAAATGAGAAGAAAGGGAAGAAGGAAATAGAAGTTAAAAGGGAGAAATGGAGAAAGAAAAAAAAGAATAAAGAGGGGAGAGAGGGGAAATAAGATTACAAAATGGGACCTAAAGAAGAGGAGAAAGAGGGAGATAAGATAAACGGGTGAAAGGGATGAGTAGAAATAAAGAACGGAAAAAGGAAATTAAAACAAATGAATAGGAGACGAAAAGAGAATAGCAAAATGGGAGAAAGAAAGTAAGCATAAAAGAAAACGAGAGAAAAGAGACAGAAAATGGGGAAAAAAGAAGAAAGTTATGACAGAAAACGTGGAAAGAGAGACAGATGGCATAGAGGGAGGAAAGAGGGGAATAAAAGAAAATATGAGAGAAAAGAAAAAGTTAAAAGAACGGGTACGGCGAAATGAAGAGATAAACGCGAGAAAATGAAGTAAAAGATAAAAAAAAAAGATATCTAATCTAGATAGATAGATAGATATAATATAGAAGAAAGGAGAATTGTCAGAATTGAAAATAACACAACAAATAAAGGGAACGGTAACAGAGGAATGGAAAGAGACATGAAAGAAGAGAATAAAAGGAGATAGGATGAAGAAAGATAAAAAAGGCAAATTTAAAAAAATAATAAATAAACGGAGATAGGATGAAGAAAGAAAAATTAAAAAGGCAAATTAAGTAGGTAGATTCATGGATAAATGTTGTTAAAAATTCGAAATTTAATTGTATGGATGATTAAGCAAATGGGTGAATAGATTTAGTGTAGAAATTCCATGAAATGAATAGGATAATATGCGTTTAATTTTGACATACAAGAAAGAGGGAAGGAGAGAGAGAGAGGAAGGGAGGGGGGGAAGGAAGGAGGGACGGAGAGAGAGAGAGAGAGAGGGGAGGGGGAGAGAGAGAGAAGGAGGGAGAGAGAGAGAGAGAGGAAGGGAGGGGGGGAAGGAAGGAGGGACGGAGAGAGAGAGGAAAGAGGGAGAGAGAGAGAGAGAGAGAGAGAGAGAGAGAGAGAGAGAGAGAGAGAGAGAGGAGAGGAGAGAGGAGGGAAGGAGGGAGAGAGAGAGAGAGGAAGGGAAGGAGGGAGGAAGAGAGAAATAAAGAAAGAGAGAGAGGGAGGGAGGGAAATAGTGACAGACAAGCACATATAGACAGCCATTCAGACAGACAGACACAAGGAACATGCAATGATGGATTTTTTCTCTTCTCTTCTTCCCGTCTATTCAAATTTCTCCTCTTCCCTCGCTTTTCTCTTCTCTTCTCTCTTCTCTCACTTCTCTCTCTCTCTCTCTCTCTCTCTCTTCTCTCTCTCTCTCTCTCTCTCTCTCTCTTCTCTCTCTCTCTCTCTCTCTCTCTCTCTCTCTCTCTCTCAGCCTCCCGTCTTTTTGTTTCGACAACGAAGAAGGAAGAGGCATAAAATGTGATAACTAAGGTGGATGGGGCGGTTCGGTGGGGGTTGTTCATGTTATCATATTCATTGTTACTGTTATAATGATTATTGTCTTTACCACTGTTATACCTTGTTGCAAGTATTGCAGATTGTATTATTATTGTTGTTATTATTATTGTTATTGGTATTGTTGATATTTATTACTAGGTCCTATTATCATTAGTATTATTAGTAGTATTATTGTTGTTATTATTATTATCATCATGTTTTAAAAAGGTCATCATCATTATTATTATTGTTATTGTTATTGTTATTATCATCAATATTATTATTATTAACATTAGTACCATCATCACCACCATCATTAGTAGTAGTAGTAGTAGAAGTAGTAGTAGTAGTAATAGTAGTGATAGTAGTAGTAGTCGTAGCAGTAGCAGCAGCAGCAGTAGTAGTAGTAGTAATAGTAGTAGTCGTCGTAGCAGCAGTAGTAATAGCAACTTCAGCATTACTAGTAATAATAATAGCAATCATACAAATACAGTATAGTAGAGGCACTAGCATTGTTCCTTAAGAATCAATATTACTCTGATTCCGCCGCGCATTCGCCCTTCCCGGCCCTCTGTTGCGAGCGTGCAAGTATCCGATTGCATCTTGCCCGCCGGTCGCTTTGAGGACTCGGTTGGCCCGTGGCTGCGATTGCGAAATAACGACCTTTTATGAACCTCTGCTTGCTTGGGAGAGGAAGGGGGGGAAGAGGGGGTGGTTGGTGGTGTGGTGGAGGTTTGGTGGAGGTTTGGGGTTGGTGGAGGTTGTGGGGGTTGGTGGAGGTTGGTGGAGTTGTGGAGGTTCGTGGAGTGTTAGAGTGGTGGATTTGGTGGAGGTGGTGGAGTGGGGATTGGGTGGTGGAGTGGTGAAGAGTGGTGGAGGTTGGTTGGAGTGGGATGGTTGAGAGTGTTTGAGTGGTGGATTGTGGGTGGAGGTTGGTGGTGTGGTGGAGTGGTGGAGGTTTGAAGGAGTGGTGGAGGTTGGTGGAGTGTTAGAGTGGTGGATTTGGTGGAGGTTGGTGGAGTGGTGGAGGTTGGTGGTGTGGTGGAGTGGTGGGGTTTGAAGAGTGGTGGGAGGTTGGTGTGTGTAGATGGTGGAGTGGAGGTGTGGAGTGGTGGAGGTTGGAGTGGTTTGGTGGAGTGGTGGGGTTGGTGGAGTGGTGGAGGTTGGTGGAGTGGTGGGGGGTTGTGGAGTGGTGGAGGTTTGGTGAGTTTAGAGTGGTGGATTTGGTGGAGGTTGGTGGAATGGTGGAGGTTGGTGGAGTGGTGGGGGTTGGTGGAGTGGTGAGGTTGGTGGGTAGAGTGGTGATTTGGTGGAGTTGTGGGGGGGTTGGTGAGTTTGATGGAGTGGTAGTGGTTGATGGAATGCTATTGTGGTAGAGTTTGATGGATTTATGGAGATTAGTGGAGTTTGATGGAGTGATGGAGGTTGATGGAGTGTTAGAGTGGTGGAGATTGGTGGAATGGTGGAGTTTGATGTTTTGTTGAGGTTGAGGGAGAGGTTGAAAGTTTGTCTTGTTGTTGGTGTTTTTATATTTTGTTTTATTTAGATTTTCTTAATCATCTTATTTATTTATTCATTTACTTATGGTGCTGGATTTTTATGGCCATGGAGTAAGTTTTTTTGTGTGTGTGTGTGGAATAGAGTGAAAATTTCGTACGAAAATAGGCAGAGAAGGAATGTTATATATATATATATATTATATATATATATATATATATATATATAGTATATATATATATATATATTATATATATATATATATTATATATATATATATATATAGATATAGAGAGAGAGAGAGAGAGGAGAGAGAAGAGAGAGAGAGAGAGAGGAGAAGAGAAGAGAGAGAGAGAGAAAGAGAAAGAAAGAAAGAAAGAAGAAAGAAAGAAGAAAAAAGGAGAGAGTGTGTGTGGGATGTGTCTATTATATCAAGATGATTTGATCAGAACAAGAAGAGAGATTTATTAGATACTGAATGATAAAAAAAAAAAATCTCTAATGAAGGATAAAGAATATTTTTATGTCTGATAAAGTCTCAGAGAGGGAGAGAGGAGGAGAGAGGAGAGAAGGAGAGGGAAGAAAGAGATAGATAGAAGCAGAAGACAGGGAGAGGATAAGAAGGGGAAGGATGATAGAGTAACAAAAAATAAGTTAAAAAAATCCCAATTATCGCTAACTAAAAAGGGGGTAAAGGGAGAAGGAGAAGAGAAGAAGAAGGGGAAGAATAGATATAGAAAAGAAAGATAAAAGAGAGAAAGAAAAAAAAAAATAAATGGCGGGGCACGTGAAGGAGATGGGGGGAGAAGGGGGGGAGGGCGATGAAGGAAGATGGATACGGATAGAAGGCGATGATAGGGCGACGTGGAATTGCTGGGGTGCTTAGTTTCCCTCTCTTTCTCCTCTTCGTTTATCTTTTCTTTTCTTCCTCTATTCTTCGATTTTTCTTCTCTTGCCTTTCCTTTCTTTTCTTCTTTTCTTCTTCTTCTTCTCTTCGTCTTCACTTTTCTTCTCCCTCCTCTCTTCCTTCCTTCCTCTCCCCTCCTCTCCTCTCCTCTCCTTCTCTCCGCTTCCTCTCCTCCCCTCTTCTCTCCTCTCTCTCCTCTCCTCTTCCCTCTCTCCTTCTCTCCCTCCTCTCCTCTTCCCTCTCTCCTTCTCTCTCCCTCTCTCTCTCTCTCTCTCTCTCCTCTCTCTCTCCCACTAACATCATTTCTGTTTTTACTGATATGATTGATTGCTATTTTAGTTGACCATAACATGTCGTTCTCTGCACACACACACACACACACCACACACACACACACAACACACACACACACACACACACACACCACACACACACACACACACACACACCCACACACAACATGCACATAAAAGATTTTTTACAAATATTATCTATCATACTTACACATTTATTTGTGCAAATGCATACGTAAGATTTGCTGTCCGGAGCAACTGACAAAAAAAATCCCGTTGCATAACTATAATCAGTTGACACAGCCAGAAAATATGGGCAAACATTGTGTCTTGATGCCAACTCGGCTACCGGTCGCAGAATTCTCGTCATGTGAAAGGTAAAAGATGAAGAATGAGAGGTTGGAGGTGGGGGGAGGAGTGAGGAGGGGATGGGGTTGGCGAGGGGAGTTAGGAAAAGTGGGAGTGGCGGGAGGGTTGGAAAAAGGGGAGAGAAGGGGAGCGAGAGGAGGGAGAGGGGAGGAAAGGGAGGGAAGAGGAGAAGTGGCTGAGAGGATTCTCTCCTCCCTCGCCTCTCTCTCTCTCGTCTCTCTCCTCTCTCTCTCTCTCTCTCTC